TTTGAAATTGTGAATTACTATATTTATATTTTACATTTACTTTAATTAAATCACCAATAGATAGCATTTAAAAAAAAATGTCACTCAAATAAAAATGAAGTATTTATAAACACTTGCATCCAAAACTTGTGGAATTTTTCAGGCATTAAGTTATTTTAGGCATTGAAATAAACAGGAATCATCGCGTTTTTGTGCGGCATGTTTAGACACGAAAATAAATGAATTTAATTAAAGTACCCATAGCAGCATGGCATAACAGCTTTAAAGAATGTAATTTAGTTATACAAATAGTTACTTAATTTGTAAATGAATAAAAATAAGAAAATTTAAGCTACCTGAAAAACAATAGAGACTTTATACTAGCATGGTTAACGAATCTACCGTTCCAGTTTGTTCGACACTACGTGCCTTTAAACCTTTTTATTGTAATCTGTTCTGGTTAAGAAGACGATTTTGGGATATTTCTTACGTTTAGGCATTACAAATCAATCGAGGGTTAAGTTATATCGTAAAAAAGTACTTGTTATAAATGCCATTTTAAAAGAGTTTTTGTGACCATAGCATTACAGTGTGCGTGATTTATGGAGCATAGAGCATTTCTACCAATCCTGCAGAAAATAAAACAAAAGGGAGTGACTAAAAGCAGCTGCAACAGGTGCATATCAAGGAGTTCGATTAACTCTTATTTTTTCGTGTGTCCAATTTTTATTTTATGGTGACAGTTACAGAGGCAGTTGTATCAAATTACAATTCACGGTTTGTTATTTTATTATTTCATCGTTTAACGTAGAATTTAATGTTTGTGCCAAATTTATGAAATCGGACAGTTAACTATGTTTCACGTTCATTAAAAATAGCAACAAATCACCGTGATTGTTTTAAGATTGGGTGTTGAGTTTTTAATTTTATAGGACAATTATGTCTCGTGAATGAGTTTTTATATAAATGTTGCAGAGTGTTAGTTTTGGTTCTAGTTTTTATGTAAATTTGAAAAATAAAACACTATTGTACAAAAACTTGGAAATAACTGAAAGTGTTATCCTGGTTTAGAATTTTGGAGATTACTAAGATCAAATAGGTTATGAGAGTTAAAAAGAGCAGAGAAGTAAAATTGCATCGAACACCTGACACTTTTTTCCATGGTCAAAATTAGCGACCTTTTGCAGTTTAAACTTGGATTACCCCGTAGGGATGATTTTCACATCTATTCAACTTTAGCTAGTAGTAGTCGCTTAAGTATGTTTATCGAAGTTTAAGTAACTCAGTATAGAAAACTCACTTGACAATACACCTTGTAAAACTTTTATGACTTAAGCGGCTTAAGCCAAAGCACCCTTATAAGTCAAACTGACTATTGTATAACTTAACTCAGTTCACATATACCTTTACAGCTCCATTAAGGCAATAATGTGCAGTAATAATCCTTGCGGTTCGGGTCCATTATAAGAGTGGTTTGGCTTAAGCCGCGTAAGTCATAAAAGGTTTAGTAGGGCTTTGACTACTGGTTAAAAAATGTTACTCTAAGAAACAGATCCCAAACCTTGTAAGTATGTCGGACAGAATTATAAAAGATATTTGTTCATGGAGATGGCAAAAATCATTGAGAACCCACGTCTCATATAAACATTTATGTAAATTTTACACGTGTCATGCAAAATACCAAAGGAATTTATCTTTTGTTTTGGTCGATCTTAAAACCAAATATGAACTTTAACGACAGTCAAATTATGGGAATATATTTGCATTGTGAATTACGGCTACATTTAACTAAAAAGCGTTTTTTTTAACTTTCAACCAAAGGAACATTCAGTATGATTTGATTTCTTACTAAAAGTGCTGTAACAGCGGTGAAATGGATGTGTGCTTACGCAGTTTGAAATACTCGTACAATTTTTATTGCTTTAAAGGGCATCAGTTTTGCCGTCGCCCCAATCGATTCTTTTACCCCGCTAAATTTATCAGCACTGATTAGTTGAAATTGTGTGGATTTTTATTTTTATGATGGTGTATAAATCAATTTAATATTCAACTAGTATTCAATTGGAAAACTGTATGGTTAGATTTCTTGGCAGATACAACCATTTGAATCTTAAGAAATTAGCTAATTAACAAATGACCTCAAAAAAATTAGTCTAACTTTTAAATATTTGTATTGTGGAGGCTAATTATGCCTAACAACGAATCGATTTTTAAGCTTTTTTTTAATAATAGGTACGCTTCTTTTGACAGTAACCAGTTAATTATTATTAGCATAATAAATAAAACTTACTTTTTTTCGATACTTAAAAAAAATTGTTCTTAACACCAAGAGAGCACTTAAAAACACGATTATAGATCATCGTGGATTTTTGATGATTTATCTCTGATAAAATGTTCGTCGTTTCAGATTATTATCGTTAATTTAAAAATTGTAGTTGAAAATGCAACAATCCAAGACAAACTTTTACAAATCCATGGCTGCCTTTGATGTTGCTTTTTAATGCGCTTTAGGTATATTGCCTGAACAAATTATTTAAATAATCATGTCAACTAGATTCCATATATTTTTGTTATGAAGATATTCTAAGACCCGGTTTACAGAAGCTCAATTAAATATTTAATTGTGATTAAGTTTTTAACACGGCGTTAAAGTACCACGTGACCGACTCTACACCAATCAGACGTCGCTAAACGTCTCGTTAAATACGTGATTGACTTAATTTCAGTTAAAATATTGTATAAACTGGCCCCAAATGTTGCTAATTGGAAACGGCCAGCGATCACTAGAGTTTACGCAAAAATCGGGAAGTAAAAAATGTATCTACTACAATATTTTATGACTGATTTCACAGGATCTTTAAAGTGTCATATTTTTTGCAGAAATTTTTTGTAGTAAAGTGATAGTAAATTACATAAAAAAGCTCATCCATTTTACAATAAAAAAAAAACATCTTTAAATACCACTGACAACTTGACTTTACAGTACCAAAACTTTCTTTCTTTGTAGTTGAGTCAGTGAAAATTGTATATAGCTTACGTTTATCATTTCATTACTCACAGAAGTATTTTCTTCTTCATCAACAAATTATTACGCTGATTTTATATTTCTCTACATTTTTAAGTTCAAGAAAAAGAAAAATTAGGGGTCCCATTTTCGTTTGTTTGTCGAATTTCGTCTATCATGTGTCATCTGGCCGCGATTTTGTTATTACATAGATGGTAACCAAAATTTCTCTAATCATTCGCACCAAAAATTCGACGTCATCTCAGAATTTTGCCAAGTACATCCTATTTAAAATATCCAAAACAATATGCCTCTGCACATGTGATTTATTAATCCTCTTCTATTTTTAAGCTTATGCATGCAGGTTTTTGGGAGGAAATTCAAAATTGTGTAATAAAATTTACTATTTAACTTAGAAATTACAAAACTAATTTGCTCTGAAATTTTGCACACGTTTTTTGGTTGTCATAAACATGGTAATTTGCTGATCAAAAAACATTTGTTCAAAACTTCCAAAGAATTGATGACATCATCTCAAAATTTTGTTGAGTAAATCGTGCTTGAAATTTATAATATGATGTGCTTCTGTAATTGTGGTTTAATAATACATGTATGTATTTATATTTTGAATGATACGTATACGAGTTACATTGATTTAATGGTTGCAACACAACAAAATGTTTGTCCAATTTTAGAAATAAAGTACTATTTTTAATTTTATTACATAAGTGTTATCAAAAAATAAATAATTTTTTAAATCAATTTTATACCTTATGTAAGGAACTAGCGAGGAAAGTTCTGTCTGAACAACCTTAAACCCAACTTTGTTTATTGTTAAAAAAAAGTGGGAGCTTTTAGTTTATTAACACTTTCCTTTGTCAGTATTTTGATTTGTTTGCTCTAGTTCTAGTACTTTCCTCGCTACAAAAAATACTTCTGTAATTGAATTTCAGACAATATAAAGCATTGTAATGATAATTCGCTATTCGCCTTGTAAAGTTATTTTAATTTATAACCCAAAAACTTACAGCAGTCCGAAAACGACTGATTTTATTGAAAATACGGATTAATTTTCTGCGAAGTGTTTCACGTCTAGAAACACAGCAGACCAAGTAAACTAACTGAAAACAAATCGAAAGCTATTTGGACAGAACTTCCTACGCCCTTCTAACAGTCAAACAAATCCAGTTTCTTAGATAAACTATAAAATTTGATTCTGTGAATTTTATTTTTTGTCATGACAACGCCCATAAATTAAATTAAAAAGAAATGTAGATGATTGAGCTACAGGTAAAGGAACATGCTATGCGTATGTTCCAAAAGATTTTTTTTGTAAAAATTTAGGATGATGTCGGCACCTTGTAGTGCGGATAGTGTAACACTAATAACTTTTTGGTTTAATAATAATTAATAGTAGTAATTAATTCATCGGTTTTTTGAAAAAATCTGAATACGTAATTTTAAAAGGTGTGAATGCGCGGATAAAAATACAAATATGGATACATATTTTGGAAATTTAAGATAGAATTTGTCTAGTAAAATTTTAAGTTAATATTATCAAGTTTTTAGGATGGGATGAACAGATAAATTTTGATTAGCAGGTATATTATTCTATAAAATTTAGACAGCATTTACCTAGCAATATACCAATTACATTACAATGTACTTACTAACGGGAAGTAAAAATTCAAAACATAAAGAAACTAAACACTACACAGTTTTGGGCGATTAGTTTAAATATTTTAGCTTCAACTAACATTAATTCAACAGTCTTGCCAGTATTTAAATTTTTTACTACTAAGCGTCAGCCATTCCATGAAAACCTCGATTCTACTTTTAACGCGCGTTTACTTAATCTTATTTTATTTGTAAAATAATTTCACCTAATTTTCTACGTATGTGGGGCAAGTTGTCGGACTAATTTATCCTCCACGATATTATAATTCTTTTTTCATTGTTTCGAACACATCTATTTTGGCGCTTCCTTAATTAATTATGCATTTTCTGTCGCTTCCAGGGCACCTATGGTAAAACCCAGCCGCCTTCCGGCCCCCGAAGTCCCGGATACGGCCAACATGGCGGCGTCGGTTACGGTTCCGGCCAGACACCGACCGAAAAGCGCACTGTCAATAACAACTTATCCGAGCTAGATATTCTGTTGCAAGATTTGAGCAACCCCAGATACGCCACTACGTCAGGTACCACTTTGACTTAATTTTCTTAACATTTACTAATGTTACAAATTTCAGAAAACGGCATGAACGGTACTTTGAACGGTGGTACTTACAACGGCTCCGGTGGCCTGAGCCCTGCCACCCATTCCCGGCCCTCCAGCGCCCAGAGCACCCTAAACCGGCGCACCGTCGACAGTCTCTTGGAGGAATTAAATTCAGGGTAAAAACAAAATTAATTCTTGAGAACGTGGTTGAATTATGTCTGCGCGGATAGTTTGACAGAAATATTAACTTGGCCAAGCGGTAGTGTGTCACCGGACCCATTAGCGATTCAAACACAATAAGCCGACCTATTTTTTCGCTTAAATTCGCCACATTTAAAATTTATAGGGGTTCGGCTGTTAGAAGATGAAAAAATTGCGAAGATTTGTTAAGTCAGCAATCTGCCTGCAACTCGTCGTTGGCACGAAAATTGTGCATTTTTAGACGTGATTAATAAGATCAGGTGTGTTTTTTTTCATGTTATGGACGAAAAATAGCTTATCTGATGGGACTGTGTTTCGAATATGGCACGGTTTTGCAAATGACCAGGTGTTAACACGATCTGTGAACGGGGACGGCTATATTTAAACTTTTATTAATGTTTTTGTGCCAAATGGAGGATAAATGTGTTTTAGTTGAGTGTCTGGGTTTGATAATTTTCTGTAACGTGTTACTTAGGGAACAGAAATAGAAATCTCAAGTTTATCTTTGTTGGGTTGACGTAGGAGGCGGCTCGTCTTTAAAATCCGTTTGTTAAATCGCCGAGTTTTGTTTTAATTCAACTATTACACAAACCATTAAAAAAAACGACAAACGGAAAGCAAACACAGACACTTGGATTTATGAAAATATAATTAAATTTATAGTTTTTCTTTAGTTCATCGACCGCGTATTAAACAGCAAATCGTAAATTACCCGTTCGGAGTCTCGCCCAACTATGAGTCAAACTCTTGGACAATCGCTTAATGTTTATTATTTTTTTAAAGCTGCTTGCAATAAGTTACTTTGATGTTTCGCTCTTTCAGCGATGTGATATACACCGGCCCGAAAAAGGTCACCATAACGGTTAAAGAAACCAAAACCGAAACGGGCTATCCCGGTGAAACCGAATTGATTTCGTCTCATGTCACCACTTCGACGGCACCCGCAGCCTCTTCGGCTACGAGGGAACTCGACTACTTGATGGCGAGTCTGTCAGGAATTAAGGTAAGTGGAAAAATGTTATCGCGAAGCTGTCATCGGAAATTTGATTGATTTACTTGTAAGTGAGGTTTTATCGGGCGTTTAAGGTGTAAATGGTTCAATGTTTGATTTGCGGTTTACCTGCGGAAGTTTTCTTTGTAAAAGAAGGGAAACAATTAAGATAAAAGTTCACGGAGGTTGAAAATCGAAATTCAGGTAATGTGTGAGTAATGGGGAGTTTGGTTTATATGAATCACAGTAAATAAAAAAACAGATGTAAACAATGTCGTATGTTATATGAAGAAATTGATAATAATCGTACTCTTAAAACTACAGGAGCGGACTGAGGAAATCTTTTCAGGGTACTTTTAATTAAAATAAACTCAAGTTTTTTTAAGATTCAGTAAAATAGCAATAGCGCCAAAGTCTGATATCTGTAATTTTTTTATTTCAAAAGTTCCGTTGGTACATTATTCAACAGATGACAGCAGTAATTTTGGCATTCTAAGTATGGCACTAGATGCATATAATAGGGTATGTGGGAAGTGCGATCATAGTGACACAAAACATTTCCTGCCAAAAAAGTTACCAAAATATGCACGAAAATAAAAGACAGAGATATACGTCTATGTCTCCACTACCTAATCCCCTATTTATGTGTATTTCTTAATTGTGTATGTTATGAATTCATCCAAACTTTAATGTAAAACGCATTTCTAAACGACAGCTGTTATCTCTTTCAAAATATTGCCTTGGCATTACTTGCAAACTGACTATAAGCGTGTACTAATAATTGCCAAAAAATCATTTTTATATTTTAAGTGGTTTTATAATAATATAGAGAAAAGCGGTTTTGAGTCTGTCACGTAAAAGTCTAGAAAACGATATTTTCAAACGTTGCTGTAGCATTTTTTAAAACTCTAGACCGATATAAAAATAGCAAATCGAAGCTAATAAATAGTTCGAAAGATTGCGAAAATTTTAGTTCACGGTTTTGGTGGTATAAATGTGCTAGTGATTTTTCAGTATAAACGTGGGATTACTCTGAAGTCAAAAAATGTTTCTATGTATTTGTTACATGTATGAAAATAACTGAACACACATGCAACTGCTTACAAAAGAACGTCACATTCTGAATGTTTAGACGAGGAATACTTTAAGTTGTATATTTTATATGTCCACTATCTTTATAACAACTATATGTTTATGCCATTTGTCCTGTTCCAAATAGTTCTTTTTGATTTATCATATAGTAACATGTAATTTTCTTTAAAGCCAAAAGTATTTCTAATTTATGTAGTTTTATTTAGTGTTAAATAGTTGTTTATCTTAAAAAGAATCATGTAATTATTTTTCGTTTCACAGTTGTTTTACAGTGCCAAATCAATAATTACTTAATACTAAATACACAGTATTTAAAAAAGTGTTTCTTCGATGGACTAACTGGCATTTGAAGTTTTTGTTAATTTTTAAACTTGTTTGTTTATTGCATTTTTTGAAGTGAATTATTTGTCCACTTCTAAAAAATAACAATATTGACTGAAGTGGAAAAAGCAACAGCCAGAAAGACATCATAATTACATTCATCCTCGCACATTTTGCAAATTCTAGTTACCATTTATAAAAATAGGTGTGTTTTGATTGGTTTTAATTTTTATAATTTGAGCATCGCCATGGAGCGTATAGAGATGAAGTTGGTCATAGTGCGGGGTTTATACCCATGATGTGTGACTCGTATTTTTTATGTACTTCTTCGCAAAAATTACCCTAAACTTGGTATTGGAACATAAAAGAGAGTGGACAGCTTAAAAACATAAAGTAATAGGACTACTAATACGGCCCCTTCAGAACACTTTGTTTTTTTTTTTAATGATTTTGCCCCTTCAGAAAAACTTTGTTTTTTTAATGATTTTGTCCCTTCAGAACACTTTGTTTTTTTAATCATTTTCCCCTGTTTTTTCCAAACGCACCCATTCAAAAAAGTCAACATTTCAAGGAAAATACGCCGCTTTTCCAAACAAGAATACGGTTTCGTCCAAACAAAGTTCCCTTTCAAAACAATCAAAATTAGGAATTTTGCCTTGTGTTTAAGACTTTTCCTGTTAGGACCCTTCAGAACACTTTGTTTTTTTAAAGATTTTGACCTTGTTTTCAAAGGTATGTTGAAAAAAGCAAAACTATATGGGCTTGTTCAGCACACACCATTGTTTTACCAAATTTACCCCATTTTTCAAGGTACCTTTGTTAAAAGTGAAAATTCACTTTTTTGCCCTGTTTTTCTATTGGGCCACTTCCGCACACAACACGTTTTTAGGGGACAATTTATTAAAAATATTAAAATATTTTAAGAAAAAAATAATTTATTCAATTAATTGGCATACAAAATAATAATACCCCTAATATAATTAAACTCCAGCTCCATTCCGCGGCGGCCCCTCTGAATCGGTGGAACTTTCCCTAAATTTCCAATAATAAAACAACATAAAATCAAAAGTGTTTATTCTTACTCTGGATCCAAATCCCCGAGGGCCCTTTTGAACCGTTCGCATTCTGACACTTTGTAAAATTGAATGTTGAAGTTGAGTAGATCGTTAATGTGTAGTTTTATCGTCCTCTCATTTGACTGCTCCAACCTCTGCCTGAGTAATTTAAATAACCGAATTTTTGGATTAAACTGGTGTATTGTAAGCTTCATGATAAGCAAATATAAAAAAGATTTGATTTAAAATGAGGCTGATAAATAATAGTCTCGATTAATTTGGCGTAATTTTTTATCTAGTGGTATTGCTTACCTCAATTTGATAAAAAAACATAAAATGAAATTAATAGAATAATATCATTATTAATAAAATAATATACCTGGAATGCAATAATTTCAATTGTTATGGACTTGAGTCTTCAATAACTGACTTTACGAACAGTTCTCGTAGTATGCGTCTAAACACGGTTGTGAAACAAAGGAAAATGAATAACAAAATTATAATAGTGTTTGTAATAATAGATAACAAGTGTTGACTTAAAGAAAATTAAATGATGAATTTCTTAATCTATCTTAAATACCTATACTTGTTTGAAAGAACAAAATAAAATGAGATAGAAAGAAATGTACTTGTATTAATGTATTATTAACATGTTTACCGGTTTCTGTCTGTTGAGTGCCTGTTTACATTCATAAAAGTTGGCTGGTAGAAAAGTCATAACTGTATCCTGTATGTAAAATCGGTAGGGTAATAATATTACCTTACCGAAATGTCAATTGTCAACATTTGTCAAGGAATCCAAAAGCAATAAATGTGAAAAGCAATAATGTAAGTAATTTTACTAGATTTTCTTTTACGACTTTTCTATATTCTTTTTCTGATTCAACATCATTTCTCCATTCACTTGTCTCTAATTTTATTTTCTTAAATGCTTTTACAAATCCTTTAAACAAATAACTCGATTTTTTTTCAAAATGCCAAACTTCATCAATAGTTATTATTTTGTATCCTTTTTCAATTGCTTTTTTTACTTCGTTTGTACACCAGGCTCATCTGATAATTCTTTGAGATTCTGTACGAGCACATATATATTTTTGATTCGGCCTTCGGCCCTTATGAGTGGACGTCGTCCACGAATTATTTAATTTTGCACACAATTGACATAGTGGAAATGTTAGTTTTTCATCACCAGATTTGAATTTATTTTTAACAGGTAAAACGGGGTGATACAAACCTCTTGGTGGTAAAATTGCACATTTCATTAAACCATACCAATTTGAATTATACATAGGAGGTTTGAATATTTTAGTAGGATGTCCAACTGGATAATCATCAATCATAACATTGTACTGTTGGATATAAACTACAAATATCTACATATTTCATTTTCTTTCCCTTAACTTTCAATTTTGTTGCATTAGTTCTTCCCTCAAAGAATGCATTTCTAGGATTAAGTTCTTTAATTTCTTTTTTTTAGTCTAATTGTATTCCCACATTTCTATTAAATTATAACCAGCTTTTGTTTTATTCTTATTATTATTAATAAAATCTGAACTATAACATTTTGTACAACCATGCCAAAAACAACCGTGATATTGATAGACTGTATTAGTTTTTTCATCAAAGTCATCAACTTTTGATCCACATATTTTCATTTCACCATCATTTAATGCATGTTTTATATTTGGATTATGAAAACTATTCAACCAAGAAATTGATTGTTGAGAATATTGATCTTTTTTCAGATTATCAACAACTGCAATTGTATCTTTCTTAATATATTTTGATCTATATATAGCCATACAAACACCAGCAATGGTAATGTATCTAAAAGGATCTATGTTAGCTATTTCTAGAAATTGTTTTTTAATTTAAGACATCCTCTTCTTAATATATCTACATCAGAATTACAATAATCATAAAGTTCTTTTTTAAAATTAAACAGATAGTTTTCTTTTCTTTTTTGTTTATGCCAATCTAAAAACTCTTGCCTTTCTTTTATTTTCATAGAATTAACACCATAGTATTTTGTATTTGGTATTTTTCCAATATAGTTCTGATTTTCTGTTGTATTGAAGAAATGTGGAAAATAACCTTTTTTAAGTTCATTCAATCCAAATGTTTTAGGGAATTCTTTTAAATCTCCTTGAACAAAGTTACTGCTATCAATAATTCTTAAATTAATTGATTTTATTTACATTAACATTATTGTAGATCCATTATAATATATGCAAAAAGGTTTGATACCGTTTTCAACGCAATATTTTAGAATAAAGTAAGAATCATAACAATAGTTGAAGGGTATTGCAGATTCGCTGTAGTTGAGAATTGTTAATACAAAATTTGCTAATAGAAAGGACTGTTCCTTCACCTTTCAGTACAATAAACCTTATGCTAATCAAAGTAAATGAAATGTTTACTAACACTAGCCTTTGATTGAAATTGTATATATTATATTCTATTCACATATTGAAGATCAATCAGTAAACGTCGCAAGTCTGCAGAATTTTGAAAATAACAGGTTACATAGAACTGTATTGTAAACGATGTCAGGTACCAAAAACATTGTTTATATTTAAGAAATAAAATTTCTTGATTTTCGTGGCGTTATATGAAATTTATTTTGACGCATTTGCGTCACTAACAACATTAAAATTGTTATTCCATTCGTACGTTATCTTGAGTTGCTTGTAAGGATATTTATTGCGTCATCAACTGTAATCACGAAGTGGTGGATCGCCTAAAAAATACGATAGATTTTTTCCGACTTAGTAAGTGAAAACACAAAATGTTCTGATAATTTATGTTGTTTTGTCACGAATTTGCTAGTAGAGCGAAGATTTCGTAACTTTCTGTACAATTCTTGACTTGAAGGATGATTTAATGTGTTCTTAACATTCAGGATAATAACATAATATCTGTGTAAGTAGCGGTATTTATGTATTTTGAAACAAAAACATGCTTGTTACTCGGTCGGTTCATTCGTTTAAGTCGGACTGCATATTCACACTCAACATTCTGAATTTTTAATAATTATATTGTGGTTGATTTTTGTTGTTATAAATTTTGGAAATTTTAGTCCGCTCCTGGGTTTCCGTTCCAACGTGTAGGAAAAAATTCCGAGCATTTTCTCTCTCGATAACAATACTTGTACTGCGTAAGCTTAAAAATAACCGAAAACGTTATAAATAACAATAAGAATGAAAACTCCCCTACCACCCGAAGTCCGCCGATTCCGGTGGTCAGGCGGCCCGCCGTGGGCGTATTTTCTCACACACATTTAACCGTGATCTAATTAAAATAATAATAATTTCCCTCCCAAAAACCAAAACATAAATGCATCGTCGTCGTTTTCCCATCCTCCTCTTCGTAACGAAACACTGTGACATAATAAGTTTCACAATTCCACAAATAGATTCCCGTATTTTCGGGCGAAAAGAGTGGGGATCAAAGCCTACTTGATCGTGAAAAAGCCCGTCGCGGCACAGTCGCCGTCCAACCGCACCTTCGCCAAGTAACCCGAAACCTCGCACCTTCTTTTTTCGGTTATAACCGATTTGTTCGCAGGTGAACCAGGGCCAGCCCCAGCACCAGACCGTCACCGATTCTCAGTACGCGCGTCCCACCAAGGCCACGCAGAGCAGCGCCGCCCCCAAGCAGAACCTTGATTCTATGCTTGGCAACTTACAAGCAGACATGAGTAGACAAGGAGTCAACACGAGCCAGAAGGGTTGCTGCAGCGCCTGCGACAAACCGATTGTGGGCCAGGTCATAACCGCGTTGGGCAAGACGTGGCACCCGGAGCACTTCACCTGCGCCCATTGCACCCAGGAGCTTGGAACGAGGAACTTCTTCGAGAGGGACGGAAAGCCCTACTGCGAGCCAGATTACCACAACCTATTCAGCCCTAGGTGCGCGTACTGCAACGGGCCCATTCTGGACGTATGTGGGAGTCAGTCTCTCGGGAGAGGCGGGTTATGACCAGTCTGATTGCAGAAATGCGTTACCGCGCTAGAGAAGACCTGGCACATGGAGCACTTCTTCTGCGCCCAATGCGGCAAACAGTTCGGGGAGGAGGGGTTCCACGAGAGGGAGGGGAAGCCCTATTGCAGGGACGACTATTTCGATATGTTTGCCCCCAAGTGCGGGGCTTGCAATAGGGCGATCATGGAGAACTATATTTCAGCCTTGAATGCACAGTGGCACCCTGATTGTTTCGTTTGCAGGGTAAGTATAATAGGGGGTGGAAGAGAAAGGGGAGCAACAGGGAGATGATGGGTTTTAAAATATCAAACCATAGGATTGCAAGTTGCCAGTTCAAGGAAAGTCGTTTTATGCAGTCGAAGGCAAACCGGTGTGCCCTACGTGCATCGGGAGGGAGGACGAAGAAGACGAATAAAAATAAAAGCTTTTACACTACCCTTACTATACTTTAAGTCTTGTATAAAGTTATTTGTATTATATTGAATAATAAAGTTTATTAATAAAAAAAACACAAAAAATAAAAACACGAACACAGTAAACAAAGAACTCTGGGCGATTTTCTGCGCGCTCATTAGCGCTGCGTTGTTGCTCAGGTGAGGCCGTGTTTATTGGGTCAGTTTGTTGCCACACATCATATTTCGGTCGCGATTATTTATAGGTTGTGCACCTACACGAATATATAGGACAAATTTATAGGCAATTTGGAAACGGGAAGGGGGGCGTCTCGTTCTAGTTATGCACTTTGTTTAGATCGATGGCCTTGATTGCAGTCAGTAGATGCCAAAATTGAAATTTATTTGCTTTTCGATTACTTCGCCTTTAGTTGCTTTATGGCGATGAAAACAAGACAGCTCAATTACGATTTTGACATTAACACAGGCATTTTTTTTATTTTGACGTTTTATTGTGGCATGAATCTCACCATAATTCAAACTGGAACGGCGGAGACGCGCACGGACTTGTTGAAAATGGATTGTTTGTAAATATTGTCCAAACGCACGTGTAAATAAATAAACGCTTCATTTTTCATGGGTTTTCAGAAAAGTTTCCGTTTTCAACTAGTTTTATTGTCTGCCTCCAAGTTTGGGTTTATTAAGGGTGTTTGCGCTGGAGTGGAGCCAAATTTATGACATGAAGCATGCGTTTAATCGTGTGTCGAATGCGTTAGACAAGGACAGCTAAATGAGATGAAAGTTTATTTTTCGAAAATATTTTACACACACTTTCACTCAGCAAACCATACTAGGACATACATACGTGTGGTAGTTTTTAATTAGAGTTTAAGTCTCATAAACGACACTCCACTTCCGTTAATATTTTCAGGAGTCTTTCCATATTTGCAGTAAAATTGTTTTTTTCGAAAATTTAACCGTACTGTGTTTTCCAAGCATTAAACTTACATTTTTGATACCACGTAATACATTGTTGCCAGCTAGATCTCAGAATAATAAATACATATTTTTCTTCTTATGGCCACTTTAATTTTTTTTTTTCTGTTATTAAAGGAATCCTTGTGTTCTGCTGATTTCTAACTGCTGAACACAAAAACTTAAATGATAGGTTGACCTTGGTGGCGTGACATACCACGACATTGATTCTTATGCAAACCAAGGTATTGTTTAAACGTAAGGTGTCTACCGCAACCTTTTATCAAAAAACCTTTTTTCAAAGATTACTGGAAATATAAAAAAAATTTGACAAAATTAAATAAATATATTTTGTCATTTCTAATCTGTTATAAGTGTGCTGCATAGAATTTAATTTTCTTTATAAAATTATCGACAATATTGGCGTCAATCTTTAGAGCTACTATGTCCGATTTTTTCTCTGATTTGTTATTATTATTATTTATTTATTTTGTTAGTGTCACATCGCATATATAATTTTACCATATGTCATAAATTTGGCGCTTCCAGATGCAGACTTCATAAAACAGGCGAAATATATGTTTTCATAATTGTCCTCCCGAAGTTTTCCTGTTTAATGGTGTCACGTACATAATTCGAGCTCAAGTTCGACTGTGAACCTAATGAACTTTTAACTTGTTTAAATATAATCCCGAATATACGTATTTTTAATATGTTTTCTATTTATTTTCGAAAAATTTTCAATTTCAATGTCTGGAATTCAAATTTTGACATACAAAAATTCAATAAAGTTATATTTCATTTTTTATGTTTGTCAACTTGTTATCTTCTGTTACGTATGTTTTAATCTTTGCTCCATTTTCAGGACTGCCGCCAACCCTTCATAGGCGGCTCTTTCTTCGACCACGAAGGACAGCCCTACTGCGAAACCCACTACCACCTAAAACGTGGCTCTCTTTGTGCCGGTTGCCATAAGCCCATTTCCGGAAGATGCATCACCGCCATGTTTAGAAAATTCCATCCCGAGCATTTCGTTTGTGCTTTTTGCTTGAAGCAGTTAAATAAAGGCACCTTTAAGGAACAAAACGATAAGCCATATTGCCATACGTGTTTTGATAAGCTTTTTGGTTAATTATTTTTTCTGCACTTTTATTCTTTTTTGCTAGAGGTGGAAGCTTCCTCTGATATTATACCAAGACGTTGTGGAGGAATTCTATTTAGCATATTCAAATATCTAAATGTTTTACATAACTCTAGTAGGTTTGCTTAATCAATTAACTTAAGATTTAAAAAATATTTTATTGCTTTATTTTCTTATTCAACTTTTGATTTTATTTTACAGAGAACACGTATGAGGTTATGATGCACTTGTTGTATTTTGCATTTTTGAAAATTTACAAGTTGCCATTTTATTTTTTATACTTTAATAATTTTTATTGGTTGTTAATTCGTACTGTAATTATTTTATAACAAGAGAACTAATTTTAGAATATTGTAATATTTAATGTGTGAAATAAAGTGATCAAAGAATATGGAATGTTTAAATTTCCCGCTGTTTAGTGAACTTTCAAATCTGATTTTAAGACGGAAGTCACGGGTGTTGCACCTCTCTTCGTCTGTCGTAAATTATCTAGAATTAGATTTTGAGACACTGATTTGTCAGTTTGATAAATATTTGCATTCTCAATCGACAGAAAGAGGTGTAATCAATTTTTTGCGCGTTTTTGAATTCGAGTTGTAATTTAGTAACTTTTCTATAGTATGGTTGGTAGTGGTAATGTTGGCAACCATTTTTTGAGCACGGCTTTATTTTTAGGTTACTTGTAAAAAGTGTAAATATGAAACAAAACAAGCAAATAATTTGACAAAAACCATGTCGACAAAAATTAGATCGACACAAAAACACTTTCGTTAGTGAATATTACTGCACCTTAACAATAGGTGGTTGAACATGGCCTCGGACCAAGAACTCCTCCTATACAAAGAAATCATAAACCGAGGGTGTTGCCAGCGCTGCGCCCTCCGATATTTATGTTGCGATAAAACTTTGATAAGTTTTGACTTCCCCAGCACTTCTTTGGTTAACGTAAGTTTTTTTTAAATACGTTTAAAAACACAACTCGACAAAATTTTTAGTTTGGTTATATGTCTCCGATGGAAGAGTTTGAAATGGAACGTCCGTCCAAAAAAAAAAAGCCTAACGCATGTACTGTCTGTTTAGGTCTTTTCCAAGATCCCTTGATTGAGGAAATAATGACACATGAAGATATTTCGAAAATTGCAGAATACAAGTGTCAATTGTATACAGTACATATAACCTTTCCAGCTTGCGTACTTATAAGAGATCATAGTATGAAAATACACTTACAAAGAATGTTTCCAGAGACATTTAATGGTTTGTATGAAACATGCATCTGTGGTTTATTAAAAATCGTGTTTTAGTTGAGGCAGTTACAAAGATTAATCATTTTTGGCGTCAATGTGTTGAACACAAGCTATCGAAGCTTCTGGGAAAAAAGTGTAATCCGCGCACATCCAAGCTGACTCTTCACTTTTATACTAGTTATCAGTTGGAGAATGAAGTGAGTGAAATAATGTTTTGCTTTTTCAATAAATGGTTTAGGAAGTGGCTTTTGTTCAAGAATTTGTCAAGGATAATTTAGTACACCCATCAAGTAGACACTCTGTTGCCACGTTATTGCAATCAGTACCGGATGAAAAATTTATACAGATGGTAAATATTCCTCCGAAAGTACCGTTCTACAGCTTGGATTTAGCAGAGTTCAAGGTTTTCTCAGAATCAATTCATCTTATAGGAAATTACTGTAAATATTCAAGAAAGTTATTGCAAATGCAAATACCAGATGATCTCGCTGATTATACTGCAGGTGATAGTGTAGAAAATATTATTGTGAGAGCTGTAAAGCAGGTTGTAGGGTAAGCCATTTACCAATCATACCAATCATTTTGTTAAAATTACAACATCTAACTTTCAGAGAGATAAAACAGGTATCATTTCAAGCCTCCAGTTTTGATGATCCATCTGTGAGAGTTTTAGGAAATGGTAAAACTTTCCATTTACAGCTATTTGATCCCAAATTTGAAGAAATACCTCGCTCCGTTTGTCAAAAAATTGAAAAAATCATTAACAAGACTAAAGTAGTCCGTGTGACAAATCTACAACAAAACAATAAGTAAGTCCTGTCATTAAAAAATAAAAGTAATTAATTTAAAATTGCAGGAAGGACATTTCTCTAGCTATGGATTCAGAAAATTTGAGTCCGCGTTTGTTCAAAGCCTTGTGCCTAATTCAAGACTTCAAAAATTTAGATCAGTGCATAAACGCTGTCAATATGTACCCAAACTTAATGGTTAACCAAAAACTCCCAATTAGAATGTTGCATCAAAATCGACGATACGACCTTCGCAAGAAAAAAATTTATTTTATGAAAGCCACTAAATTGAGAGGTTTGTTGATGAGTCAAAAAGATTTTGATCTGAAAATTTGTATTTCAGATAATTTAATTGAGTTAGAATTATGTATAGAAAACGGACTCAACATTCGAGAATTTATTGATGGAGATTTGGGACGAACTAGTCCGTCCGTGTCAGAGATAATGAGGGCTAAAGCAGGTATTTTGGCGTTAGACGTGATCGATTTTCGGACAACATTACCATGCGCAGCGGAGGAAGGAGAGGTTGTAATATAATGTATATAGAAGGTACATAATTATCAGGATACTTATTGGTAGTAATTTATTTGGAAAAGAATAAATAAAATAAACAAAATTCGTCGAGCTTTCACTTGTCCCTCTAGTTTTTTTGGTTACGATTTAATTGGTCAAATCATTCAAAGAACTGTGGCTACAGAATTTATTTAAATGTATAGTTAATACGGTATTATCCCCATGAAACTGAAAATTTGTTGATACGTTTCAGTAGCTACGCTGTCATGCTCTTGGCCTGAAGTGATTAATTTTGTGTCAAATGGCCAAGATGTTTTTAAAAACTTCATAGTAAACTTTTAAAACGAAAGATTTTAAGCCGCCATAAATGTGAATGAAAATACCCATTGTTATGTGCACATCACAGTTCAGGCTTTTTTTTTGAAAATTAAATATGTTGTGGAAATACTGTAAAATACCTGTTGTTCCCTTCTAACTACGCCCCTGCCTTTTTAAAAATGGCTTTATTACCACAGTGCGCATGCTCATTGTCATTTTTCACTTTGACAGATGTCAAACTGCCGGTTTAATAATTAACCACAATATTTCCATTCTAGTATATTGCACAATATTGTTAGTTCGAAAAATTTCAAACAAGAAACTCCAAAATGGTTGTGAGACAATACAACCAAGAACTAGAATACCTAGAAAAAATCAACTCTTACTGCTGGCGGATCAAGAAGGGTTTCCAGCCTAACATGAACGTAGAGGGTGTCTTCTACGTCAACCAGACCCTCGAAAAACTGATGTTAGATGAACTTCGCAACGCTTGTCGGCCCGGTATGGTAGGGGGCTTCCTTCCCGGCGTTAAACAAATTGCCAACGTGGCTGCTTTACCGGGAATTGTTGGCAAGTCCGTTGGCCTACCAGATGTCCACTCTGGTTATGGTTTTGCCATTGGAAACATGGCAGCTTTTGATATTAATGACCCACAATCAATTGTCTCCCCTGGAGGTGTCGGTTTTGACATTAATTGTGGTGTGAGACTTCTGCGGACCAATTTGTTTGAGAAGGATGTCCTCCCCGTGAAGGAACAATTGGCGCAAAGTTTGTTTGATCATATCCCCGTGGGAGTGGGTTCCAAGGGGATAATTCCTATGAATGCGAAAGATTTGGAGGAAGCGCTTGAAATGGGGATGGATTGGTCGTTGCGTGAGGGGTACATTTGGGCAGAGGATAAAGAGCATTGTGAAGAGTATGGAAGGATGTTGAATGCTGATCCTGCAAAAGTTAGCATGCGGGCGAAAAAGCGGGGACTACCACAGGTACGATTTTTTGTTTTATATTTATTCATAAAAAATAAAATATTAAATAAAATAAAATAGAAAAATTGGTCATCTACATCATTTTATTAGTCAGTCGATATAACAGTGTATAATTTGATTATGTTGAACTGAACTTTTTGTATCAACACAGGAGCTATTCTAGCTTATTTCCTTCGTGATGTGGCGTCACCGCGTTCCCGAATTGGCAACACTGTTGCCTTGTGGGTATTTTAGTTTGAAAGAACATAGAATTTTGTTTGTTTTCTTTAAAAAATTTTATTTAAAAAATACGATTTTAGAATAGATCATTGTACCTTAAAAAATTAGATTCAGGAGTATAAGTGAATAAAATTTTAAAACCCTCAAAAAATTCAAAATTTGGTATTGAATTGTAATCGTCAACAAAATGGAAATCTACGTTCCTGAGCATAAGCTAAGGAAGTATTGAAATCGAGACCATTGAACGACTGGCCACATTATGTTTTCTCGACGTTTCATGACCCCTAGAGTACGAAAAAGTAAGTCTTGTTACCGCCTGTCTGTCTGCCGTCTTCCGAATTTTTATTAAACAGAAACTATTGGATCGATTGTTGTCAAATTTTATATCTGTATTAGGAATATTGTGTATCAACAATAGGATAATGTCATCCCTAAAATTTACATTAGTAAATATTATTTAAGTTGTGTAAAATAAGATACTCCTGCACATGTGGTTTATGAATTATGTGTCGCGTTTTTATCCTATACATCCAAATTTTTGAAAAAAAAACAAAATTGTATAACATTTTGCAATTTAAGTTTGAACCTTGCAAAACCGAATGCTATGATATTTTACAAATATTTTGATAAATCGTTAATCGAAATTTTTCCGTGTATGCCCCCAAGTGATTACGTCGTTTACAATTTTGCTGAATGAACGTTCTTTAAATATTATAGAATTACACACTCCAGCATGTGTGATTTGAGATTTTATGTGTTGAATTTTTACCCTAGATATCCAGATTTTTAGAAAAAAAAAATCAAAATTGCATAACAACTGGTACAACTGCAAAATAAATGCTTTGAAACCTTGCACACGTTTAAGGTTATGGGAAGCATGGTGAATGGTTAGTCAAAATTTATCCGTTCATGCATTCCCTCAAGAATTGATGATAACACAATTTTGTCGAATAAATGTTATTTAAATGTTAAAAAGAAACAAAGTCCTGAACTTGCGGTTTACGAATCCGTTATGAATTTTTTTCCTAGAGACCGAAATTTTTGAAAAATAAATGAAAAGATCACAATTTTTCGATTTTTTGGCTGTTCAAATTCTTCAACTTTTGATTTCTCAGTTTTTCGATATTTCAGTTTTGAGATTTTTCAGTTTTTTTATTCTTCAATTTTTCAGTTTTTCAATATCTCGATTTTTAATTTTTCGATTACATACTCAATTTTTCGTTATTTCAGTGTTGGGATTTTTCAATTTTCTGCTGAATTTTTAAATGTTTCAATTTTACAATTTTTGACGTTTTCTAAATTTTCAATTTTTAAAATTTTAGATGTTTTGATTTCTCCATTTCCCGGTTTTTGAGTTCTTCATTTTTTGAATTTTAAATTTTAGATTTTTCAGTTTGTTGATGTTTGGATTTCTCGATTTTTCGACGTTCGGTTTTATATTTTGCGGTTTTTAACATTTTTGATTTTCCGATTATTCAATTTTTTGTTTTTTTCAATTTTCGATTTTTCAATTTTTATATTTATTGACATTTCGATGTTTCGTTTTTTTGATTGTTCAGTTTCTCGATTTTTTGACTTTTCGACTTTTCCATTCCTCAATGTTTCAGTTTTTGAATATGTATTTCGATTTTTCGCTCTTTTGATTTTTCAGTTTGTCGTCATTTCAATTTTGGAATATTTTCGATTTCTCAATTTTTTAATTTCAGATTTTTCAATTACATATTTTGGCCTATTTCAGTTCGATTTTTCGACTTCTCGACTTTTTTATTTCTCGATTTTTTTATGCTTCGATTTCTCAATGTTTCACTTTTTGAATATTTTGATTTTTTGATTTCTAGGTTTTTCAATTTTTTACTTTTCGGCGTTTCGATATTCCAATTCTTCGTCATTTAAGTTTTGAAATTTTTCAATCCCTCAATTTTTCAGTTTTTCGATTCTTCGATTTTGAGATTTTTCAGATTTTGCTTTTTTAAATTTTCGATTTCCCAGTTTTTCAATTTTTCGATTTTTAATGTTCAGATAGTTGAATTTTTGAATTTTTCGAATTTTTTGTTTGGATTTCTCAATTTTTCGATTCTTCAATTTTTCGATGTTTTAATTTTTCAGTTTTTTAATTTTTAGATTTTTCGAATTTTTAAATTTTTGATTTTCCAATTTTCCAATTTTTTTAAATTTTACGTTTTTCGTTTTTTCAATTTCCCGATTTTACAATTTTTTCATGTTTCGATTTCTTGACATCACGTTTATTTGGTTCCTTGATACCTAGGTTATTCGATTTTTAAAATTTTTTGACTTTTCGATTTTTAGGTTTTTTGGTTTTTCAAGTTTTCGATTTCTCAATTTTTCAAAATTTTAATTTCTGGATTTTTAAATTTTTCGATATTTTAATCTTTCGATTTTTAAAATTTTTGGTTTTTCTATTTCTCGATTTATACATATTCCGATGTTTCAACTTTCCGTTTTTTGCTCTCTCGATATTTCAGTTTTTAAAATTTTTAATTTTCCGGTTATTCAATTTTTGTTTTTTGTTTTTTAGATCTACCAATTTTCGATTTTTTAATTTTTATATTTATCGAAATTTTGATGTTTCAGATTTTTTTGTTGTTCAGTTTTTCGATTTTTCGTATTCTCGCCTTTTCCATTTCTCATTTTCTCGATGTTTCAGTTTTTGAGTATTTCGATGTTTCGATCTTTTGATTTTTCAGTTTTTCGTCATTTCAATTTTGGAATATTTTCAATCTTTCACTTTCTCGACTTTCGCCTGTTCAATTTTTGAATTAATGGATTTTTTTTTAATTTCAAATTTTTCAATTATATATTTCAGCTTGATTTTTCGACTTCTCGACTTTTTCATTTCTCGATTTTTTGATGCTTCGATTTCTAGATGTTTAACTTTTTGAATACATATTTCGATATTTCGATTTTTTGATTTCTAGGTTTTTCGATTTTTTGACTTTTTGGCTTTTCGATATTCCAATTTTTCAGTTTTAGATTTATAAAGTTCAGATTGTTGAATTTTTTAATTTTTCAGTTTTTTAATATTTAGATTTTTCGATTTCTTGATTTTTCGGTTCTTCAATATTTCTGTTCCAATTTTTAAAATTTTTTATTTTCCAGTTTTTCGATTTTTTAAATTTTACGTTTTTCGATTTTTCAATTTCTCGATTTTACAATTTTTTGATATTTCGATTTCTTGACGTCACGGTTATTCGGTTCCTTGATATCTAGGTTATTCGATTTTTAAAATTTTTCGATTTTTAGATTTCTGAATTTTTGAACATTTCAATTTCTTGATTTTTCAACTTTTCGAATTTCTATTTTTCGATTGTTCAATTTTTCGATTTTTAAAATGTTTAATTTTCCTATTTCTCGATTTTTTGATATTCTGATGTTTCAACTTTCCGATTTTTGCTTTCTCGATATTTCGATTTTTCATTTGCTTACATACACTTATTTTCACGAAAGTTCAACTAATAAAAATAAATATGGTGTTAACTTATACCGTTTTTTTTTTTTCTGTTATAGTTGGGTACACTAGGTGCTGGCAACCACTACGCCGAAATCCAAGTCGTCGACGAAATCTTCGACAAATGGGCGGCTTGCAAAATGGGTATAGAAGAAAAGGGCCAAATTTGTGTCATGATTCATTCTGGAAGTCGCGGTTTTGGTCATCAAGTCGCCACCGATGCTCTCGTTCAAATGGAAAAAGCAATGAAAAGAGACAAAATTGAAACAAACGATCGACAGCTAGCATGCGCTCGTATTAATAGCGAAGAAGGCCAAGATTACTTGAAGTCAATGGCGGCTGCAGCCAACTTCGCATGGGTCAATCGAAGCTCGATGACCTTCTTGAGTAGGCAAGCTTTCGCCAAACAATTTAATATGGCTCCTGATGACCTCGATATGCATGTGATTTATGATGTGTCGCACAATATAGCTAAAGTTGAAGAACATATTGTTGATGGGAAGCCAAAGACGCTTCTAGTGCACAGGAAAGGGTCCACTAGAGCTTTCCCTCCTCATCACCCTTTGATTCCGGTTGATTATCAGTTGACAGGTCAGCCGGTTTTAATTGGGGGTACTATGGGTACTTGTAGCTATGTTTTAACCGGAACTCAACAGGGGATGTTGGAAACTTTTGGATCCACTTGTCATGGGGCGGTAAGTTGGTGCGTAATTTTTTTGGAAAATGTTAATTTGGGTGATTTAGGGTCGAGCGCTGTCTAGAGCGAAGTCGCGCAGAAACCTCGACTATACAGACGTATTGAACAAATTAGAACAGATGGGTATTTCCATTAGGGTGGCGTCGCCCAAACTTGTGATGGAGGAAGCACCAGAATCATATAAGAACGTAACAGACGTTGTAAACACTTGTCATGCTGCGGGGATTAGTAAGAAATGCATTAAATTGAGACCCATTGCTGTTATTAAAGGCTGAGATTCTACTATTTAAGGTATTTATGATCAATTTTCTTGTAAATAAATTGCAATTAATTTTTGGATGTTTTGAAAAATAACTACCCGTTCACAACTTTGATCCTTATCCATTTATATCGCCAAAATAAAATAGAACAAGAATGGTAGGCACTAATTTAGTACCAAAGGAAAACACAAAATAAAATTTTAACATTTTATTGATGAAATTTAAGTTAAAAATCTACCTATATCACAATATTTCAATTTTTCTTAAAAATACGTTTGTGGATACTTAAAATTGCCTAATCAAAACGAAGGAATGTTAATGTTCACTCGTAAACCATTCTCTTTGGCGTCATCACAAGCTGCTTTCGCTCACTGGTTTTTCATTCACATTCTCCTCTTGTTGCTTACCATTCGCTTTTTGGGTTGTTGTATCACCCGCCGAAAGATTTACGTCAAGTTTAGAGGTGTATTCGACTGACTGCGTACTATTCTCCGAAGTTTGCCGACTATTTTCGGACTTTTCTTCCTCCCCTTTCTCTTCAACATTTGTACTTTCTTCAGTTTGGAAGCGATCTTCTTCCGGTATAGTTCCATTCTGAACATTGTTTTTTAAATCGTCTTTTGAAACGTCTTTATGGCGCGTCGCTTTATCAATGTTCAGAACTAAAGGCCTTTGCACTTTTTCCAAATCGAACTTATGTACAGTTGGAACACGACTTAACGGAATGTAAAAAGGCACAGAATTACCGTCTTTCGGATCTGGTTTGTGCATTACCAGCATCGGTTCGATCTCACCATCTCTGATGATGCAATCACAGTCGAATTCTTCGCATTTCGGGCATTTGTCAGAAAGGTCGGATTTGAGACTATTTTTTACTTTCTACAACAGAGAGTTTACGAAACGTTAAAAACAAGCAAGGGCTCACCTCTAAGAACGTAATCCCAGAAGAATTGAGCAACATATACACCATGTATATAGGAATGCAAAGAATCGAGAGTGATGAGATGACCCAGCCAATCACTATCGCCCAAGTTGGGTAGTGGTACTCCCCGTTGTTATAAGTTGGCGATTCGTAATCGATCATACAAAACACCCACACTGAAAAAATCATAAGGGGCGTGGCTACCATCCAACAGAACTTGAAATATACGCTCGGTGGACGTCCAGTCATCGTGTTCACATTTTTACTTAAGCGTCTTACTCCATAGAACCACGCTATGGCTACTACTTCGAAAAATGCTAGGTACATTATAGATATGGAGGCAGCGTAGTGATCGATCAATTGGAAGAAGTAAATTCCGCCCTGAAACGTAATTGGTGGCTGAGCCACAAAGTGGGAGGAGCTGTAAAAATTTACCTGAGTAACGTTGGGTAAGCCACAAATTAGCGAAACCACGCAGATGATTAAAACGAGTATTTCATGGCACACTAGATTCTTCTTGATCCATGCAGGGAAACCGTCTTGAATTGAAGTCACGACCACTTCAACGATAGCGAACTGGAAGATATCTAGATGAAGCAATTTTACAATACTTATGATCGTTTTTTATCATTACTTGGCTGTTGAGGGCCAGGCAGATGAGCATGAAGAAGAAGAGGACTGCCCAGAGTTGGGCTGCGGGCATTTTCGCCATGGCTTGCGGATAGACGACGAAGATCAAGCCCGGACCTGTAAATAACGATGTGGTATGTGCGTTTGATAGTTTAACTGACTTACCATCGTCAATAACAGCTTCTATTGACGTGCCTTGTTCTAAAGCAATGTTGCCAATTGTGGCAAATGCGAAAATGCCAACGAGAAGACTGGTGATGGCATTGACGAAAGACACAGCTAGAGTATCATGCAGAATGTTATTGTTGTATTTACTATAACTGGCAAAGGAGATCATGGATCCGAAAGCTATACCCATCGAGTTAAACGTCTGAGCGGCAGCGTTAACCCAGACCTAAAATGTTGTTCCTTAGTTGTGCATAGATTTTTTAAATCGAACTATTTTATTGACAAAGATTCCCAAACGTCCTAGTATTGCTCTGATTTTTTCGGTGTGTTAAGAACGTACCTTGGCGTCTAACAGCAGTTCAAACTTCGGTCGGAAGAAGTACCTCATGCCTTTATCGGCCCCTTCGAGGGTCAAACTTTTAGCCAAGAACACGATAATGAGCAAAAACGGCAACGTTGCCGTGAAGTACCGGACTTTGGCTGACGACTTTATGCTCTTCCAGATAGCAAAGTAGACCAAAACCCACGCGCATATCAAGCAAGCTACCAATTCCCACCTCAGGCTGTCGAAATCTTCAATACCGTTTCCTATCTGCAGTACCTTTTTACTAGAAAACAGTTAGATAAAAGCGACAAAGCGGATGGCGTTTCTTACTCGTAGAACTGTTCAGCAGGTGTTTGACTGCTTTGGGGTTTCGACACGTTAGCCGCGGATTTGCTTGGTATCCAACATTCCTCGTCGTTCCATCGATGGGAGCAGTCTTCCCAAGGCTGTTTGGGTTTGAAGGAAGTGAAGAAGTAGTAGATTCCATACGCTATTATCACACTGTAGTACGTTGACATTAGAAACGAGATAACTACGCTACCTAAACCGGTCCCTGAAGAAAGAAAAAGTCAATTGACGAGTGGTTTTAAGAATAACGTTTCGTTTACCTTTGAGCAAAGGGCATAAGTGACCTAGAGCTCCTATAGGGCCTCTGCCGGTGTATTGACCTACTGCGAGTTCCATGTAGAGCATTGGTACTCCACATACTATCATTATTATAATATAGGGTATGAGGAAAACGCCTGAAACGGAAACAAGTAAGCTTGCATTATTTACGGTGACTTGTAGAGTTGAGGTTGATATACAATGTTTCCCTATTTGTTTTGTGTCACGATGCATCATTTTTTAATTGTATCACGTTTGTGACATGAGTCGCAGATCTAAGAAATAATTACGGACAATGAATATTGAACAAATTTGTAGTTACATTAATATTAATGGGTGCATAGAAACTGATTGAAGTACGTAAACAAATAACATTATTGTCGTATTTTCAATTCTTATAACACCCAAAATGGTAATAATGAAAAATCGACGAAGTGGTTTGTGCTACTGGTAATAATTATTTGCGCAATAAGTGGAATAAAAACATTATTACCATATGAGTGCGAAGTTCGTTTATAACGAGGTATTAGCAGAGTTGAGTAATCACACAATGCGCTAGCCTACGCATATCGTACAAAAGATTATCCAACATATGTGGAAAACTGATTTAAAGAAACGACAAAGGTTTTTATTTGGGTTAAAAAACGAATGCATCAACGCAATGTTAACATATTTGGGTTAGTAATGCAAGTCGTTACCTAATTTGAATACGATAAATCGTAATTGGCATTCCAAGTGGGATAAAAGCATCATTACCTACGCTTGTGAAGCTTAGCAGAGTTGTGTAAATACACGAGATAATAATGCTCTCCTTTTTTATTAAAAAAGGACATTCGGGACAAAACGATTACGATTATGTCAAAAAATAAACTAATTAGTAACAAGATTAACAAACTGGTGCAACACTTCAAGATTCACAGCAGCAACAGTTATAATGTTTGTTATATGATTTGCAAACTACAAGAATATTAGCAGACCCAGAATTAAACCTTGCGGGACACCACGAGTAAAGGGGTTTTCAGAGGTTACGTAATCTTAATAATTTTTTAAGAATGGAGATTCGTGGGTATATCACATTTGTCAAAATATTGTTTAAAAATCATCAAATATTGAATGCTGCTAGGATTCACAAAGAAGTACATACAAGTTTTAAAAAATTATTCGTGATACTACAAAATACGGTTCCAATTTGTTTGCCAAGTTTGATGCGTTCACTATAGATATCATCAATATCTGTCAAGTTGATTTTCATAACACGTATTTCTTGACGTATAATTAACACGAGTGTCACAGAATTTAGAATCATAAATTTTCCTTTCACTGTACAATTATACAGATCAATTTGAGTTAATTTATGTATTTCATGAGATACCTGGAGATTATGTAGGTATACATACTAGAAAAATTGCTAATCAAAAATTGAAGACATGAAAAACTGAGAAACTGAAAAGTCTAAAATTGAAAGAACGAATAATTAAAAAATCAAAAGTTGAAAAACCGAAAAATTGAAAAAAGGAAAAATTATAAAATCAGAACAATGAAAAACCGAAGAACTGAAAAATAAAGAAAATAAAAACCGAAAACTGACAATTTTAAAATGAAAACTCGAAGTAGTTACATACTGTAAAACTTAAGAAACAAAAAATCAGAAATTTAATTTTTTTCGATTCTTCAACTTTAGACTTTTTTAGTGTTTTCAGTTTTTCATTTCCTTGATTTTTAATTTTTCGCTTTTTAACTGTTTATTTTTTGGTTTCAATTTTTCGACTTCTCAATATCTCGATTTTTGATTTTTCGTTTCTTCAATTTTTGGATCGGCAAATTTTCGATTTAGATTTCAGTTTTAGATTTTGAAGTTTTTAACTACTCAGATTTTCGTTTTTTCAATTTTTCCACTGTTTAATTTCACAATTTTGCATTTTACAGTTTTGCAAGTTGAAAATTTTCGGGATTTTCAGCAAATGTTTTAGTTTTTGGACTTTTTAATTTTTCGATTTTACAGTTTTTCAATTTTTACACGTTTAATTTTGCGATTTTTCGCTTCCCATTGTTTCAGTTTTTCAATTTGCAGTTTTTCTAGTTTCTAATTTTAACTTTTGAAATTTTTCAATTCATCACTTTAGTTTTTCAACTTTTCGACTTTCCAACCTTTACATGTTTTAATTTTGCATTTTTTCGTTTTTTTTAGTTTACCCATTTCTAATTCCTCCGTTTTCGGTTCAATTTAAAAATTTTCGATTTTTCGTCGCTTTAATTTTTGGATTTCTTAAATTTCACCGTTTTGAAATCTTTCAATTTTGCGATTTTCGGTGTACAGTTTTTCAATTTATCATTTTTTGGATTTTCCAACTTCATTTTTCAAAACTTTGTTTTGACTTTTCCATTTTTTGGTTCCTCGATTTTAATTTTAGGTTTGCAGTTTTAATGCAGTTTTTAGTGGCTTCAGTTTTTCAATTGCTTGATTTTTAATTTTTCGCTTAATTGTTTATTTTTTGGTTTCAAATTTTCGATGTGGTTTTCAATTTAAGATTTTTGGGTTTTCAACTATTCAAATTTTCGTTTCTTCAATTTTTCGACTGTTTAGTTTCACAATTTTGCAATTTTACGGTTTCCCATTTTAAAAATTATTCAGTTTTTCGATTTTACAATTTTTCAATTTTTACACATTTAATTTTGCGATTTTCCGTTTCTCGTTGTTTCAGTTTTTCAATTTGCAATTTTTCTACTTTTCAGTTTTAAACTTTGTAATTTTTTAGTTTCTCAGTTTTTCGTCTTTCTTTTTAATTTTTTATTTTTCAGTTTTTCGACCTTTCAACTTTTAGATGTTTCAGTTTTGGAATTTTTCGGCTTTTCATTTTATCCATTTTCAATTTTTCAGTTAAATTTAAAATTGTTCGAGTTTTCAACTTTTGATTTTTTCGATTTTGCAGTTTTTCGTCATTTCAGTTTTTGGATTTTTTAGATTTCACAACTTTGAAGTCTTTCAATTTTGCGATTTTCGATATACAGTTTTTCAATTTTTCATTTTTTCGATTTTCCAACTTCATGTTTCAAACCTTTGCTTTGACTTTTCCGCTTTTTTGTTTCCTCGATTTTTAATTTTTCGGTTTATAGTTCTAAATTTCTTAATTTTAGTTTTTAGTGGTTTCGACTTTTTAAATGTTTTAGTTTTTCGACATTTTAATTTTTTTATTTTACAATTTTTCAATTTTTACACATTTAGTTTTGCGATTTTTGGCTTCCCTTTGTTTCAATTTTTCGATTTGCAATTTTTCTAGTTTCTAATTTTAAGTAAATTTTGAATTTATCACTTTTATATAATTTAATTTTTCAATTTTTCCATTTTTCGGTTCAATTAAAATAGTATCGATTTTTCCGCTTTTGATTTTTTCGATTTTTAAAATTTTTATACAGTTTTGAAATTTTTCAGTGTTTCATTTTTTTGATTTTTCCAACTTCATTTTTCAAACCTTTGTTTTGACTTTTCCATTTTTTGATTCTTGGATTTATAATTTTTCAATTTTTGACTTTTTACTTCTCGAGCGTCAATAGGGAAGTACTGTAATCGAGTCCATCCGGCGATTGACTATTTTCTTATTTCCTCGATGTGTCATGATCATTCAGTATGAAAAAATGTCTCCTGTTTTCGTCCGTCTGTCTGTCTGTCTGCCGTCCGTCCGGATTTTTATTGGACAAATTATCTCCGAAACTACTGGACCGATTGTTGTCAAATTTTATATGTGTATTATGAACATCATGTAGATGGTCAAACGCTAACCAAACTTTGTCTAATCATCCCCACCAACGATGTGATGACGTCACCTCAAAATTATAGATAGTAAATGGGTTTTAAATTGTATAAAATAACACAGTCCTACAGGTATAGTTTATGAATCCGTGTTGAGTTTTTGCCCAAGATATTCAGATCTTTTGGAAAAAAAATCAAAATTGTGTAAAAACATTTTGTAATTTAACTTTGAAATCTTGCAGACGTTTTAAAGATGGTAAATTTTTAATCATAATATTAAAAATTGTATAAAAACTAGCTGACCCGGCAAACGTTGTTTGTTGTTATTTTATCAGTGGAAGAAACAAAGTTTTCTTTTGATGAGTTTAGATACATAGTTTAAGCCAGACGTTTTGTACCAGAAGGATTAACATATATGGTACCGCAGGAAGAACTTAGTGATCTGTGGGATGTCTTTAGAATAGCAATACGTACTTAAGTCACCACCTAGACCTAAGAATAAATATTCATGCGTAGAATATATTACGCATCAACAGTTCAATGTCTAAATTGTTGAAGACAATTTGAAAATGTACTGAAGAAGACCTACGCAAATACAATACACAAGACTTATATTATTATCTGCAATAAAAATGACACAGATTTCAATATTATCGAAACAGTCGATACTTCCACAATATAACACTTAATTTTAGTGAGGGGTACTAAAGTTACTAGACCATGATAAAATTTTCATTCCCTTACTGTTAAGAGTGGTGAGATAAATAATCATGGAATCATATTTTAGAAATAGGAGACGTGGGTTCGAATCCTACTCAGGCTGTGACATTTTTCTTTGTTTTCCACAACATATGTAACTACCAAAGGTATTCAACCAAATGGAGTCTCATTGTCCATTATTTGTTAAATTCCTTACGTTTCTATAGAAAGTAAATTTAGTCACAGCAGTTTCGGTTTAAATAGAAATGAAGACATTTTTTTCTATATTTTGTGTGAACTGTTGCTTTTGTAAGTATTGTCCGAAGGTTTATTATTTTCTAAAACTATTAAATTACTTAACCAAAATTTTACGTTATACATAGATTGTGTATCCCCGAATTTATTTTTAAACAATTAGTTTGAAAAAATGTGGGCGGAAATTAAAACCAGTTAAAACCCTGTACTGTATCAGCGAAAAGTTCAATTTTTTTTCCAAAAAATCTTTATCTTTTATCATTATTATCATTTAATAAGTTTGTCATGTTGGTATTTTTGTCAATGATTTTCAATACAATTCACCAATTCAGATTTTATTTTACCGAGTTATTTTTTTTTTCGGGTAAAACTTAAATTAAAACCGCCAAAGCCGTTATGCTCGTGTGTTAAAAATTTAGAAAGCCCAATCTTGAATAAAACCAGTAGGGTAACCATTTTCATTAAAAATTGAGTGAATAATTATTTCTTATCTAAATCAATATGAAAATAGACAACCAATATTACACCTGTTGGCTAATCAGTGGAATTTCCGAACTAGTCATCCTTTCTAGCGAATGTGGATATACTTACTATATTTCAACGTAAAAATGTCATTTAAAGTAAAATATTGCCCATAAATTTATTGTCGAGAATGCTAATAACACCTATACAACCTGAACTAAACATTTACTGAATATTTTAAAAATTAAAAATACAATCAGGGGTGGACTAGGTACCCGAAATAATAAATATATAGTACATAGTAAGTTTAACTTGTCGCGTCCTTTGGTTCATAGAGAATCCGTCCATGAATAAAAGTGTTTGTCAACACGTACTTTGCAGTTGTTTTGTTTTTTCAGTTGACGTCATTTATTTTCATCAAGGAAGAGTCAACACACTTGTCATGTAATTTAATTATGATAACACTGTTTTGACTACATTTCTAACAACTGTCAAAATTGAAAAGTAAATGACAGACACTTCAATAAAAATGATGAATGTGTATTTACTCTTCAACTATGCTAATCACACGCGTACGATAAGTCTCTAAATTTCCGCCATTAATTTCGAAATAATTCAAGTGATAAATCACTGCAAATCAAAAAGAATTGTGCCGCAATCTGCGAGATAAAGTGAAGTGTTTTTGTGAACAACTAAATCGCAATCTCGACTTGCAGACACATCAAAATGACTAATAATTAGAAAAGGAATGGTCATATTCAAATCTCGTCTATTACTAAAAGCATCGATGAGTAACATTAATTCATCATCTGCAGCCTCCCAGAACTCGGATCAAGTTTAAACTAAAAAAAAGTGAAGGTGTTGCCATCGCATTTCATGTTATTATGTCATTGACTAATTTGCCGAACTTCATTACCATTTCCCACCGCTTATGAATGACTCACTTTTACTACACACTATTATTCCGCGACCTCGTTTCAATCAGAATTTCATTCCCGCAAACTTATTTTCCCTCAAAAGTTCAACGACTCAAAATGTTATCTCGACGGCGACAATTTTACACTTAGACCCGATTTCAAAATGTTTACCTCCTCCGCTTTTGTAGCATAAATACGGGAACCTCCAGACCGAGCCCAAGCCGACGCTGTAGCCAACACAAGCCAGGACGAATTGTAGTTTGTTCGACCATGTCTGTCTTCGTGGCTTTATATAGACGCTGTCCTCGTCGTCGCCGCTGCCGTCGTCGGTATCTGCGTCGTATAAATACTCCTCTGGTGGTCTGAAACAGAAAAAATAAATAAAGAAAACGCAAAATCGGGACTCGTGGACAGGTGGTATGGCCTTGATGGCGTTTCCGCTGGATGGCCTGTAATTACAGGGGTACCGCAGGGCAGTGCCCTTGGGCCATTGCTATTTCTCTACTCGATAAATTTTAATTAATAGTAAAGCGGAATGAGGTGGCGATACAATGAGTTCCGACACAGTTGAAATTAATTATTAGATTAAAGTTGACAAGTATTATTGCGTGTTTCATTGTGTTGTAGTCCCGTGATTTCATATATTATTTAATGGTTCACCTTGCCACACTCTACTTACAAAACAGTCGGGAAAACGAATCCGTACTGATCTATCCTTGGTCTGGGTTTGATGTAGTACACTTTACGACAGGCCATTGCGACGTCGTAGTTTACACAAGTGTCATTATTGAGGAACTAATCGAAAATGGAAGGATTCTCGATTTATAAGTGAACGAGGTGTTAACACTTTTTATATTTAGATTAGGTATGAATTATGTCTGTCAACAATTGATCATTGTGAGAATTTGCCATGAAGGGTAGAGTGATACTTAACACGATTGGATTAGCGCCAAGTGGAAAAGTTGAACAGAGTGTTTGGTCTGGCGGTTTGAGAAAAAATTGATTGATCTAAAGTTGATGTGTTTCCAGTGCGGTTTGACAGAATGAGAGTAATGACAGGTTACGCTATTATTACATGAACTGGGTGAAAATCGGTACGAACTTGACCGCTTTAACGTGAATGAAAATAATTTTTCGGGGTAGAATGACTTGGAAATTGTTAAATATCAACGCAAGTTTTAAATTCTTCTTTTTTTTTTCAGGCAGTAATGAATATGACAACGGATTTACTGAGATTAAGTTTATGAAGTAGATACGTTTGTTAAATCCGTGACGAATTCGAGAAAACAGTTTCATATTTTATTTCCAAGTAAATCCTATTGTGTTACCTGTGATCACAATGAAGTTTAAAATATCCGGCTGAGTCATTCGTTATGTTACTACTTTCAAAAAAATTAGTCACAGAATTTCAAATTTGTAATTATGGCGTCAACATTTTCAAAACAATACTGTCGTAAAATAAATATGAAGACATATCTACATATGCACCGAAAATTTTATCTCTACTGATTTCTCAAGGTTACCTCAAAACGACTACCTGGATAGCAAACAAATTATACGATGAAGAATCTACAATCTACTTGTATTTAAAGTCGTCAAAATATTGATTTTAATATACAACTGTCTCATTAATTATTCGCTGTAAATTATTGAAAACATTTTTCGACGCAGTTTGAAATCATCAGTTTAAAATTTTTCAGATGTACAGGGTATTTCGTTTCCAAGTTACGCATCATAGGAGTGTTTTTTAAACGTAACACTTTGTGCATTTTTTGACTTTAGACTCCTTTTTAAAAAGGAGAAAAATGGTATCAGACAGAGGTATTTTGAATAGCAGTGTTCAAAATATGTATCTACATTTTAATCTAAAAAAGTGCTCATATTTGAAAAATTTCAACTCCGCCGCCATATTTAAAGATGGAGCTCTGAACATTTGTTAGTTACTTTGTTACCGCGGACGATTAAAAAAATAAATTACAAATGTTAGCTTATTTACACATTGTTAAAATTAAAAACTTTGTTAAACTTTTTATACGCATGTTGAAAATAACGCCTTTTAAAATTTTTTTGAAAAATTCAAACCTCCATCTTTAAAAACGGTTGAAGCTAAATATAGTACTTTTTTGAATAAACGTCGAATATCCTGAATAGTGCTAATCAAAAAACCCTTGCCGTTAATGAATTGTTTCCTTTTTTTCATAAAGAATCTAAATTTGTAAAAATATGTAGGGTGTTTGACTTAAAAATACAACTTTAGTGTGTAACCTTTAGCAGAATCACTTGTATATGTGAAAAAAATTGTTGTCTTGAATCCAGGATAAATGCATAATATTTTGTTGCAAGATCGATGGAACACCCTATATGTATAATTTCTCGAAATCTCATCAATTATTAGCGATAGAAAAAAGTTACCGACTAAAATTGAACAGTTCTTTTGAGTAGCATACATTAAAATAATTTTCGACCATACAGAGTGTTCTATTTTTGACATAGCATACAACTTATTTTTTTTTTTTAATAGAACATCTACATGTTTTTACAATCGCAATAATGTTATTTTTAAGATCTGTGTCGCAATATTTTATGGAGAGATACAGAGATACGCACTTTGTTGTGGTTTAATATACGGAGTGTCTGCAAAAAAAATATATAAAATGTTATAATTTTCATCATTTATCTTTTTTTTTTTTCAAATACAACACTTTTACTCTATTTTTTGTTCTTTTTCTTTCAAGTTGTCGGTTGTCTTTTAAAAAAGTAAAAAATCTCAGTAACCATTGACTTCAAATATAGGAAATACTTAACAAGAAAAAGAACAAAAAACAAAATAAAATGTAGTAATGAAATACAAGATATTAAAACAATAAAACTGAAATTTCGATTTTTGAAACTTGTAATAAGTAAAAAAATATAGATAAACATTCACTACATATTGACTCAATTTTATTTATACCGGAACAAAACGCGCACTTTTGTTTATTTTTCAACAAAATATTGTAATACAGATTTTAAAAACAATTTCACAAATAAACTGACATTACAGAACCCAAGAAGACGTCAATTAGAATATGTAAAACTATGTAAGGTATTCCATTTAAAAAAACAATGTTTGTATATTTGTCTTAATTAATCCCCAATCTAAACACGTAACACGCATCCGCTGCATCAAAAGAAATTGCGCTTTGACTGAAAATGTTAGAGGTCAACTTTGTTGGTGAAATGCGTCAATAGTTGTGTCAATCGCTTTTGCTTTCTAAATAGTTCAATTTTAATTGTCAAACTGTTTCACTATTATTTAAAATGAGGTAGGTAATTTAACATTACATGATACAAGGTTAGTAGAACTTTTCCTTTTTGCAAATTTATCTATATATATTTAAATTTATTACATTGCATGTAATATAAACTGTTGTGTCTAAAACAAGTGGTTTAATACATGGTGATTTTAGTGTACATATTTATGAGTCACCCTGTATAAGAAATTTAAAAACTTTTAATGCAATGATAAATCATAAGTATACACTGATCATATTTTGCACAATTTGGATAGGATTTATTCGGTAAAATTTTGAGATGACGTCATCAATTTTTTGGGAGGGAGTAAATAAATAATTTTGCTTAACGATTTACCATGATTATGATAATCTTAAAATATTTTCAAGATTCCAGAGCAATCGGTTTTGCAGTTTCAAAGTTATATTGCAAAATATTGTTATTCAATTCAATGTCTAGGGTGAAAATTCGACACGGATTCACAGACCACAAGCGCAAGAGTATCTTATTCTATACAATTTTAAAAAACTTTTTATTATAAATTTTGGAGATGACTTCATCCTATTGGTGGTGGAAATGATTATCTAAATTTTAGTTGTCTAATAAAAATGGATACAGACAGACAGACAGACGAAAACGGGATACTACTGTTTTCGTATTCTACATGTCATGACGCGTCGAGAAAATATGAAAATGGCAATTCGGCCGCTGGACTAGATTACAATACTTCCTTAGCTTACGCTCGGGAAGTAATAAACATTCTCATTTGGAGTCATTTACCATATGTTTCAGGAAAAAAAATCTAATTTATCAAACATGACTTTATTAATCACACTTAATCACCAGCTGTCACAACAAATAAATTGTTTGATATAGTGGAGTGGTAATTAAGTTTTATATAGTTTTAAAATAGTAGTTTATTTGTAATAATTTGGATCTGAATCAGTCTGGAGGAACGAAATAGATATGCCTTAAGCTTTAATGACAGACACTTTTTTAGCTCAAACTGACAATTCAAATTTCAAAATTTGGGCGACTAAGTTTCGAGTAAAACTATAATGCAAATTTTCGTTACATTTGAAAGTTCACAACGAAAATGTTAAAATTTGAATTGTGACCATTAGAAAAAATGTCCTCGACTATAACATTACTAATTTTGAAGTGCCTACTGTTAATATTTGAAAGATAAAATTGTAAAATGTCTTTGCAAATATAGGTATATAAATATTAGCCGCCTGAAAGAATTTTTTTACTTTTTTCCCTGTTTTTACTACCATATTGACACACATTTCTGATAATCACTATCATAACAACATCACAACAAGCCAACTGAGTCAAGGTCGCACAAAACTTGAAAAACCGTTGCAGCTATTTACTTAACGTTGTCACACTATTAAAACCATCATTTTATATAATACATTATAATAAAGGTGCTTAGTCTAGGATCTAAAGATTTAGTAAAAACCCCAGGTTTTTTTATGACTGAATTGAAGTAAGTAGATCCTACTGTAATTCACTTATGTAACGAATTTTTTCTTGATGTGTATAGCAAATATTGTCGTTTTTTATTTAATCTACCAATCTGGGTAGTTCAATCAAAAACAATCAACGTCACCAGCAACGATTGCTTAATAAATTATGATAAATGTGTAAAGTAATTTGTTTATAACGAGGTGTAAATATTTAAAATGTATTGTGTAAAAGTCTGACGACTCACATGACAAATTAAGTGCTAATTATTTATTACCACTCGTTTGAATTAAATTTAGAAAAAGAAGTCCACCAGTTTACCTAAACATTAACATTGTTTGGAGAGGTCGTGCTTCCACTGGAAATGACGCACATGATAATAATACGCTGCATTTTAATTTTACTACATTTCAATGTATTTAGAGCGAGCGCCCAAAAGCCGCCATATTTAACACATTATTATTTGACATTTTTACAACTAAAAGCCCATTTCACACGACAAAAATTTCCAACGAGCCAACTTCACTCCGACGCTTGCCAGATCCCGCCATTCAAAACACCAACATTGGGTGCATCAGTGCGATTAAACTGTTCCTGCACAATTTTCTCCCATAACGTA